TGTGCGTCAAATACATGGTATGTAGTGTGTGTAATGTTTTCTTTATTGATTTAATGTATCTTTTATGCATTATTTAAAAAAAAATATTAGCATTGTGCACTTCTTCTCTATATTCTCTATAAGCGTGGAAAATTTCACACTCCTCCGTCCGCGCAATTTTCGTAAAAAGGGATACAAAGTTTTTGCTTCACGTATTAATATATAGATAGATAAAATAAATATCTCAAAACAATAAATACAGTCCACGCTCAATTAACACAACGCAACAGTCGGTTTTTTTTGTTTTTTATTTCAGAATAATTACAAAAACAATTAGCGGCACAAATATAACACACATAATTATTGTTATCGAAGGCCTTCATGACGGTGAAAGATTACATTCCATAGAAACAGGTCAAGCTAATAAAAACGCGTTAATAAACTAATAATAAATTGAGATCATTATAAATCTCCTAACTCAAACATTGTTCACGGCATTGTTATGATTTCATATTACTGCAGTCCCTAAGTATTTAACATCCAATAGAACTGTTTTTTTCTGACTCATGCTCAGTCATATTACTGTCTGGTACGAACCGTGGGTCTTCGCCAGACCAGAGCCAAATGGTATGACGTTTAACTAAATAAAGAACAGATTTTGAATAATATATCATTGTATTTTTTTTTATTGCTTAGATGGGTGGACGAGCTCACAGCTCACTCGGTGTTAAATGGTTATCGGAGCCCATAGACATCTACAGCGTAAATGCGCCACCCACCTTGAGATATAAGTTTTAAGGTCTCAATATAGTTACAACGGCTGCCCCATCCTCCAAACCGAAACGCATTACTGCTTCACGGCAGAAATAGGCAGGATGGTGGTACCTACCCGTGCGGACTCACAAGAGGTCCTACCACCAGTAAATATTCTTCTTACTCTATTAATCTTAATCTATGTGTACATTGACCAATAGAAATTTTACCATTTAGAAACTTAGAGCCCCGGCATACTCGCTTGCTAAGTATCGCCAAATGCTTTGCCCATTGAAAGACCCTACCCAGTGGATCTGTGACCAATACGATTTGTGACGATACGATTTTTTAATTGCCCTAGTCGGCAGACGAGCATATGGTCCATCTGATGGTGAGTGATTACCGTCGCCTATGGACTTCAGCAATGCTAGGCGCGGAGCCAAGCCGCTGCGTACCGGAAGCGTCGTGCTACCAATATAGTTTTGATTACTATTATCAATCTGTAATATCTTCCTTCGAAGCACAGGTCTCGTGCCGTCTCTATATATCACAAGATACATCGAATTAGAATTTAGATTAAATTTCCAAACCTTAAAGTTCTCTGCAACTACATCCGGCCACTAGACCATCACCGCAGCATCCAAGTGACGCAGTACCAGACCGCCGTCTGTAAACACTCAACACAGAACAGACTTGAATACAGAACTCTTCTATGTTACCAGCTCTGTGGAGCTAAAACCCGAGAATTTATAACAATAATCCCAAGAACATAGGAAAGAGATTGAATTACTTTCAAATATCATTAACGCATATGTGTTTCTTGTAGTTCAAGTCGTTTTTGTTAACACGTTGACTGCCATGTAGGTCACCGGTGTCCTACGCGGCGCACTGAAGTAATTATTTAGATTTCTGTTACTAAGCGCCTCGATTGCCTAGCTTTGCCTTCTGTCGTTTTTAAACTATGTTTTAGTCTTTTAGGACTCTTAAAAATATATTAATTCTCAGTGTCTTCGGATTCGTCTCTCTAGTCTACTAGATATTGCGGCGCCTTAGTGGCGGAATTGGACACAATTACTTCAATGCGCCGCGTCGGGCACCGGTGACCTACATGGCAGTCAATGTGTTAAATGTAGTATTTTATAAATGTTTTGTAAATTTTGTCGTGTCGTCGTGGCCTAAAGGATAAGACGTCCGGTGCATTCGTATCGAGCGATGCACCGGTGTTCGAATCCCGCAGGCGGGTACCAATTTTTCTAACGAAATACGTACTTAACTAATGTTCACGATTGACTTCCACGGTGAAGGAAAACCATCGTGTAATAAAAATCAAACAAGTATAGGTAGTTACAACGGCTGCCCTACCCTTCAAACCGAAACGCACTATTGCTTCATGGCAGAAATAGGTAGGGTGGTGGTACCTACCCGTGCGGACTCACAAGAGGTCCTACCACCAGTAAAAAACGAAATTCATACCAACCTTATGGTAAGATAAATAGCGGCCTTCACGCGGTGACTATGGGCTGTATATGAATCCCCTCAAAAACAGATGAGCAATCCATTTGCAAGAACAACAAGAGCTTAGAAGACGTTTACAAACAGAATAGGTATAATTTAAATTATAGCTTTTGTTGATTCTCAACAAACCGAGCTGTTTCCGTGTGCTGGTAACACTGCAGCTTTACGTCACTCAACGTAACCGCTGCTGGCCAACACCTGGCTAATGCCTCGATCAAGTGGCGCGCTCACTTCAACACTTTCTCATTTATACAAATACAATAAATCCACATTGAACTTATGCACTCACAATATTTACAAGAACGTTAAATCAAGAAGGTTCGCCAATCTTCAATTTCCGCGAAACGTGGGTACATAATTGAATCTGATTTACCGATTTAAGCCTTCGTCAAACAGAACGCGTAATTAGCGCGCGTCAGAGCGCCAACCTGACGCCGCGCTATGACGCCGAGATGTGTTGTACTAATATAGTAACATACCGTCAAACAAAGCCCCAGCGCTATAAGTACGCAGCGCTAAGTCGCGGCGTTAGGACGCTTTGACGTCAGGCGTTGTAATTTTTTACAAATTTTATTTTAGCGTCCGAGTGAATTTGTATTAAAATACTAGATAATGCCCGAAAAATTGATATAAATAGTTAGAAAATACCCATGCCACATCTGAATCACTCGACATCTTAATACTTTTAAATTTTCACACTGCTATCGAAAGGCACTATGATTTGGCGAATGCGTTGCGTCAAGGAGCGTTAGACTCATCTAGTCAATTGGTTTGACATGAAAAGAGCGCGGCGTTAAGTACGCGGCGCTAAGTACGCGTTCTGTTTGACGAAGGCTTTAATTTAGCGTTTGTGTTGTTCACATTAGTTAGTGTGTTTTGAAGTCGTCGTGGCCTAAAGGATAAGACGTCCGGTGCGTATATAGCGATGCAAAGGTGTTCGAATCCCGCAGGCGGGTACCAATTTATCACGATTGACATACTTGACGTACGTACTTAACAAATGTTCACGATTGACTTCCACGGTGAAGGAATAACATCGTGTAATAAAAATCAAACCCGCAAAATTATAATTTGCGTAATAACTGGTGGTAGGACCTCTTGTGAGTCCGCACGGGTAGGTACCACCGCCCCGTCTATTTCTGCCGTGAAGCAGTAATGCGTTTCGGTTTGAAGGGTGGGGCAGCCGTTATAACTATACTGAGACCTTAGAACTTATATCTCAAGGTGTGTGGCGCATTTATGTTGTAGATGTCTATGGGCTCCAGTAACCACTAAACACCAAGTGGGCTGTGAGCTCGTCCACACATCTAGGCAATAAAAATAAAAAAAACATTACGTCCGAGATTTCGAATTGAATTTTTGCTAGCGTCTAAAGTGTTTCTCGTCGACATTCCACGCGAACATTGATCAGTGTTATATGGTTACAGTAGATTATAGACATCGCATCGTGAATGCTTATATCCTCAGCCACAGCCTAGTGAGTTTCTCGCCGTATCTTCTCAGTGGGTTCGCGATTCCGAACCGATGTGGTAGATTCTGGGAAGCCCTGCTCTTGCTAGAGCTAGTGTTAGCAACGTCCACCAGGTTAGAGTACCGTGAGCTCACCTACTCCTTCGGTGAATCTAGCATGACCTTTCGAGGTCACTAGAATAGGTAGGAAAAAATTAATAAAAGTGTTTGCTGTCGTCCAATCCAAGATATAATGTTGAAGTCTCAAAATGCTTAATGGTTGACCCAATTTGCATACCGAAGACTATGATTGCTTCTTCATGACACACGGACACGGTTCACAATTATCTCTCAACTGTAAGGCCAGTCAAATTCGCAACAGAAATAAGTAAGAGGCACTGAACCGCAGGTATCTGTAGCTGTAAGCTGTACATGGGACATCATAACATTTCATGAAACTTTAGATTCATTGACCGAGGAGTTTTGGCTTCCGAAAAGAACATTCAGTGTCCGTGCACCGTTTCAAATAACCATGAGGTAATGAAGCTACTATCATACCCTTTCATCGATACCTCCAAAGGCTATTGCCCGATTAGATCACACATTGCCACAATATTTCTTTGTCGTATCACTCTTGTCAGAGTGGTCGAGGCTGTCATTCAGTATCATTGCTATGAGCAGAAGTTATGAGCCTCACTATCACCAGCTATCGCCACTTCTCCCGATTTGTGGTGAGTCTGGTACAATCATGTAAACAATCGCCAACGTTCAACTTGACTTGGTCGGTCCATCGCTTGGACCTTACCACAATAGGCGGTATGAAAATAATAATAACGTGGCACCTGGGAACCCTCTTAATTGTGGCGTGAGGCGACCATGCGTCCCAATTTAAAGGGTGGGGCAGCTGCTGTACTATATAACTGAGACTTGGAAGGCACGTTTCAAGGTGGATGGCAGACCACTTTTACTGGTGGTGGGACCTCTTGTGAGTCCGCACGGGTAGGTACCAGCACCTTGCCTATTTCTGCCGTGAAGCAGTAATTCGTTTCGGTTTGAAGGGTGGGGCACCCGTTGTAACTATACTTGAGACCTTCGAACTTATATCTCAAGGTGATGGCGCATTTACGTTGGAGATGTCTATGGGCTCCAGTAACCACTTAACACCATGTGGGCTGTGCACGTCAGCCAACTAAGCAATAAAAAATTAAAAAAAAAAACCACATTCACCCATCTAAGCCATCCCCCATCTAAGAATCATGCAGCGTAGAATTTAAGTGTGTAATGGAAGCTTCGTTTTGTTATAGATGGAAGCGAAGGTGAAGGAAGAAGTGCCGGATAAGGACTACAGCCAGCCGACGTCCACCGAGAGGAGGAAATGTAAGTTTGTACTGTATTAATATGGAACTAATTCCACATACGAGCAGGGCCGGATTTAAACTTAATGCCGCTACTGGGCACCGGAAAAAAAAAAGCCGCCCCAATACTTGAATTTTACATAAACTTATAGTTTGTATATTTCATTTTTCAAAATTAAAATAACTAAATTATTGCAGAAACTTTTTTTATATATTATATTTATATTCCAGGAACATAAATATTCCTTTTTTTCTATGAATGTTTTTCACTTTTAAAATTTTGCCGCCCTAAAAAAATTACCGCCCTGGGCTCTTGCCTCGACTGCTCCTAGTGTAAATCCACCACTGCATACGAGCTAGAAATGCATAATGTCTTAGGAGTACCCGAACACGAGATAAGACCAAGCCCAACACTCGGACCTTCAACACCAAACAGCTCCTACTCCCGAATCCGGGAAGATCTCGTAATCGGCCTCACCAGGTTGTTGTGACCACTGTTACCACAGCTGGTTCTGCTGCGAAGTATCCTCTCGTCTTGCCCTAAATGGTTGAGGCTGTTAGTCTCGCAATAATATGAAAGCTTTCACTTGACGTTCACAACATAAGAACTTCGTCTGGATTACAAAAAAATCCTTTTACCCAATAATTATTTAAACAAAAATAGTTGAAAGAGATTAATAGAGAACGGCTTGGCTGTGTCTCTGGCTTTGGTATTGTTCATGAAACACGGTGGCTACATGCCATCATCAGGTACATTTTACGTATGATGATAATAATAATAATAATAATAATAATAAAATATTGGGGACGCGGCCATCTTGTTGCTTGGCCATTTTGTTTCGCAGTTTACTGAAGCTTAGGGCCTTAGGCAGTGTCATAAAGATGACGTTTTTAAATGGTACAAGATTAAAAAGAGTCCTTGATGGTTAGCTTGACCCTGTACTGTATGAAAGGCATGTTGCCACTACACCTCGTACAGGAATAGGCAATAGGTACATCGCCACCAAAACATTCCGATCAGCGCGTCACCCCGTGCTTCTGTGTACAAGCCTGGCGCGCTGGGAACTGGCGCAGCTGACGCGCGATGCTAATCTTATGATGGCGGCTCGAGGCACGGACTGTAGGGGCTCGGCTGTGGAAATACAAATACTGGATGCGTCATTAAATTGATAAGCAAACAGTCGTTTTTTATTTTGTTATTGCTTACATAGTTGGACGATGTTACTGCCCACTTGGTACTAAGAGGAGCCCATTGACATCTACAATGTAAATACCGCCACCCACCTTGAGGTATGAGTTCTAAGGTTAACAGTACAACGGCTGCCCCGCCTTTCAAACCGAAACGTATTACTGCTTCACGGCAGAAATAGGCAGGGTGGTGGTACCTACCCGTGCGTCAGCACGTCCTACCAGTGTGGCCCAACTGTGCCTTAAATAATATCAATATACATATATGACTTGTAAAGTAATTGTCTTTAAAAACTTACGTGGTAATTCTGGTAGACCCCGATATATTAAGTAAATTGCGAAACTGAAATATAATGTTGCTCGCGTTCGTCGCATTGTTAAAAGCTGTGCATCTATTGCAGCCACAAGTCCCCCCTCCCTCTATGGTGGCAACAGACTTCACGAGGTGGCAGCGGCAAAAAGTATGTGGTATATACAGCTACATATGTTGGTTGGGTATAATACGGTAAATTCTCTCTTAAAGGTCAAGTACAAATACAAATGGAAATTAACCTTATAATTTATTTTGTAAGCCTTTGAAAGAGCTGAAGTCTGTACTAGGTTCGAAGACCTGTATTACTGATCTCCAGGCTCCCTCCTTCTTAAGATAGATTAGGTTAAGTCGTGAACAGATGCTGCGGACTAGTGTTGAGAGATCATTAGGTGTTATCATTTAAGAAGGTCATTATGCGTGCGTGTGTTTGTGTGTGAGTGTGTGTGCGTAAATGTGTGTATTAGTGCCAATGAGATATTGAAAAGGGGACAAACCATGGTTGTCGGCACTGTCCTTTGTACCGATTTTGATTTATTTAAAGTATTAATATATTTTTCGTAATTTTACGTGTTGCAGGTGGAATTAAAACCCTCGTCGATAAAGATAAAGATAAGACTTACAAGATTTAGCTAGAGATGTTGTAAAGTTATTGTTTACGCGACTCAAGAGCTTTCTCACGTTTTTGATAGATGTCACTGTAAGCAATTTTTATATCTGTACTCACGGTTCACAGCACAACGTACATAAATATATGTATGTCCAGTTGAAGAATATAAAAAATAAGGCTCAATATCGACGGACCGTTAGATACGATTCAAATTCTATCTGTACCCTTTCCTAATTACATTTTCAACGATACGGAATCACTCTTAAATTCAATTGGACAAAAGGATCATGTAATGAAATAAGTTTTTCAAAATAAATCACATTTCCTGATTTTTTTTAGCATAGTTGGAGAACATACCTATATAATAAGGTATATTTATATATAGAGAGATATCGAGGACTCGATTTTACTGGAGATTGCGGATGGCTGGGATAGAAACTGTTTGTAAAAAGACGAATTTTAATTATTCGCGATTTTTCATCAGCCATGAACAATTAGCGGAGAAAAACAAGATGTTTCTGATGCACCACACAGACCAAAAACATAACAAAAGTGTCCTATATAAATAGAATTTTATTGTTGGAAGATTATTCACGCCTTTGCTATAAATTATTGCAGGCGAATACAAGTTTTTGTCAAATGCAACTGCAACATGCTCAAAGGTTCAGACAAACAGATAAAAATATGCTTATGATATTAGCACATACAAAGCGGCTATATGGTTCATCTAGTTTCAGCTCACGTCTTTATATCTTTGTATCGAACCCCATAAAAAGATTATGTTTATTGAAGGCTACATTTGAAATTGTAGCGTTTGCTTCGGCTACTACTAAATAAATAAATAAATTTTTGTAACTAATATCGCCTGTATTTACTGGTGGTAGGACCTCTTGTGAGTCCGCGCGGGTGGGTACCACCGCCCTGCCTATTTCTGCCGTGAAGCAGTAATGCGTTTCGGCTTGAAGGGTGGGGCAGCCGCTGTAACTTTACTGAGACCTTAGAACTTATATCTCAAGGTGGGTGGCGCATTTACATTGTGGATGTCTATGGGCTCCAGTAACCACTTAACACCAGGTGGGCTGTGAGCTCGTCCACCCATCTAAGCAATAAAAAAAAGTTTTGGTGGTTCAGCTAATGATTCAAATCACGATGTCTTTAAAAATTCACATTTCAACAGTTACATTTTTCAATTAGAATGAAATTGAGATATTGGGGGACCACAAATATATCTGTACCCACTGAGCTCATGGCTGTATCTTTTTAGCGGGTCGCGATTCTAATCTAGTGGTAGATTCAGTGAAGCACTGTTCTTGCTAGGGCTAGTGTTAGTAAAATATCCCAGGCTGAACTCCGTGAGCTTTGCCTAAATATTCGGCGAAACTTGCATATAGCCCTTGCATTACCTTGCAGTAGATATTATAAGTAATCACAATCTAACAGATATTCACACCCACATTAGTTAAGGATCATTGTTTTAAAATGACCGTCTGTTTGCACTGTCGACTATCAATTGCGATTTATTATACATATAAGCTTGAGGGTAGACATTATCTTGTTGAACATCAAGTACAACGAAGTCACCTTTTTGATTCTTGATTTAATCAACAATATGTTATCTTAACAATTCACTTTAGCACTTGTCCAACTTTAACCAGTACGTACAACAGTCACTGAATCACACAACGTAATAAGGATATAAGTAAGTGCACCAGGCAAACGCAGTCCAACGAATGTCCATTGCGAGGCACGTACCGCCTTTTTATACTGGCCGGCGCAGCTGGCTTATTTATGAGTCACTTCTGTTGCACCTGTTGTTTACGAGTGGAACGACACGGCCGGCGCACCTGGCTTGTGTGAGTCACTCCTATTGCACGTGCTATATAACAGAAATATCGTTAACGCCGTCATACTTATAAATTATATGTAACATTTTATAAGCAAACACGAACGACATTAGAGAAATATTTAAAATGTCTTCACCCAAATTCGTCACGACAAGTTCAGTCATGTTACTGTCTATTCAATCCTCTCTAAGTAAGGTCTCTCTGTATTTAGGTAAAAACAATAGAGTTCCATTTTCTTCGTTGCTCGCTAACCGATTTTCTTTCTTTTTTCAACACACTCCCATTATCTTTTCCTGTAACTAGTTAGTTCATAGTTATGAAACGGAAATTTTAAAGCAATTTTCACCGACTTAAGACGTCCGATTAGCTCATAGCTTTGCATAAGTCAAGTTAAGGTCAGATATCTTATTATTTTGACCGAATATCCTGTCCAGGACATTCAGGATAAATAATGGTAGTTTTAAAACGTTTAGTTCTGTTTCTCTATTTAGACGGGTTCTATTAGTTTTTGAAATGCGTACATAAAACGAATTTTGTTTGCCTATTATCGACGATCTACCACGTAAACCATAAGAAATATGTGAATTGAAGTCTATTTAATTTTTTTCAAAATAACTTGTGGCGCGGGTATTGTAGCTAAAACCTAAAAGCTGCCGGGAAGCTGAAAACTTAAAACAGAAAATGTAATACATAAAATCTCCGTTTATTTCTTTGTTCACAGTTCAAGTTATCAAGTGAAATACATTTGTGTTGAATTATAAAAAAAAATTAACATAATTTTCCTAACCTAAAAGTACGTTACCTAAAAGTACACTGCGGGATGGATGTAATATGCTCTACGTAAGCCCTGTCCCGCAGTCTCAATAGCTCCGACTGGGTTCCCGCCCGGTCCGGGGTAGGACGCCGGCTGTGAGCGGCTGGAGTTTTTGGTGAGGTTCGACTCCCACATACCCCACCTGCCGTGCGGGTGGGGATCCGGCGATTTTCTCCTGTGGAAAAAAGGCCTAAAAGTACATGTTATTATCCGCAACATGCTTCGTCAAAAAGTACAATACTTACTTTCAGTTACA